AATATGCGTAGATCTTGTAGTAAATTACACAAAGTACTCTAAACCCCACTGTTATTGAGGTATCTTCTGAGCGAGTCACATACCTGCGATATGCATGGTTTAGTTCAGTTCTTTGTTGAGACAAACACCTATACCTCCGAGCGGGTCTACAGGTTACGAATAGTAGAACAACCGCCGGATATGTGGGTTATTTTCATAAAAATATGCCATAAACCTAACGAACATGCAGAAGTGACGGATGTCCAGAAAAGTGCGGTAATAGTACCATTTGCAAGGTCGGTTCAAGACAGACTGCGTCAAAAATGTCTCCATTAAATATTCATGCCGAAAAACTGGAAGCAATAGCCTAGCGAAATTTTCCAATTTCGTCAGATGAGGTTAGCTGAACGTCGCCATCGCTGCTATTTTCAGCAATTACTATCCATATTATGATCCTGGATAGTAATGGAAGATCACAATATATATTCTCCTTCTAAAATAGTTACTACCCTATGCCATATTGTGCTCGGTATTATAATCTATGGCGACATGTGCTTGTCATCGATCGGATATGGCTCTGTTCATAGTTTTGTACACAGTTTACACTGTCTGTTTTACTTCACTGCTATTAGTCTGCTTATATAATTTGAATTTCCTAGGCTTCATAACTATACACAAAAACAATATTCTCTGGCGATCTTGCAAAACCAATAAACTACGAACGTTAAAACTGATCACAGAGTAAAACAAAGCTTATGATCTAACGACTAATGTCTGATCAAAAAAAACTTTGTTCAATTGTTACCTGCAGATTCTTGATTTCTTCTTCAGACTTCTCGATGGTTTTTTGCAAAACACCATAAATGTTTTCCATCGGCTGCTTCAGAAAACACCGACCAACACTTTCGTAGGCGACGGTGTCGGATGGAAGGTCCAAAAGTTCATTTACAGTTAGCTTTGTCCGCAAAATATTCCTGTGTCTCAGCTCAATCTGTATGTCATTTTGCCGCAGCTTGTGTTGTGTCAGCGACATTTTGCTCTGCAGGTCTTGAAAAGCCTAAACATTCACCATCATCGAGAAAGGAGTAAAATTTGTCATGCTAAAAGTCAGTTACTTCGTATTTGTTTTAAATAAAAGCCTGTTGGTTCGAACAACCATAATAGCAGCTGAAAACTGTCCCCTCCTTCATGTTGAAGATCTGTGACATAAGGGATAAAAAGTCGATATCCGTTTATCATCCAATAAACCATTACACTGTAATGCGCCTAATTAAACCATATTTGTGCTGTTTTTCATCTAAACATAAGTGACGAGATTCATTGCGAAAAGACATGAACATATTATGATACCAGATTACGAAAGAGATGGCAAAAAGCTTGAAAAAACACATTTAACTATTGTTTCTTCGGTACAGATCCATAGCGAACTGGAGATATCGCAAACGGACAATAAAAATCAGCAGGTAAATTATGAAAGCATTGCAATGAACAAGTACAACATAAACAAAGAAACAATTGAAAGAGAATGAAAAATGCAAGAAATGACTGAAAAAATGCGGATATAAACGAAAAACAAGTAATTAAATAAACACAGCAGAAACTGATTTACTTAGAATGTGATTCCAACCAGATGAAATATCGATAAAGCTTAATTCATCGTTTACACAGAATGCACTGTTTTAATGTCGATGAATTCGCCTATCACTAGATCTGCAGGGTTGTTTCACGGACCGAGATTTTCACGTCCTCATTATCAATACAGTATAGGTCATCAAGAGTATATTTCACAATAGCAGAATGCCCTTCATTTGTCCATGCTAAAAAGATGCCACATGTTCTTTTAGACGAGTTTATCACGTATTCTTCCGTAAAATGTTTTCTTCATTATTAATGCGCTATCTCAACGTTCATTTCTTTCACCTTTTCCGTATTTTCCAAGAAATACCTGTGTCGTTCGTACTTCTTCGACCACTGTGTTGAATACCTGTGTTCTTCATCTGCAGCTTGTTGGGTTGGGTTGTAAACTTAGATCATTTTTAATGTACTTCTTTTGCCCTTTTGTAGAAGTCAAATTACTAGACGAGGTGATATGATATCAGTGTTAAGTACAAATGGCATAGCCCTGCTTTTTCATTATGAAGAGAACGCCACTTGTTGAGCTCGATTCCTGAAGAACACTTTGTGGCCGTTTTTCTACTGCGCAACATCTAATGATATCGTCTTCGTCTTTTCCGTTTCCGGGCTGCATACTTCTGTAAATGCGTCTATTAATAGTGCTCCTGTAATATGGCTAGCTGCGAAGATCTTAATGACATTCCTGCTCCGTCGGCCATTCGTGTCCTATAGTTTACCGCGTCCTAAGCGTAGTTCAGGCCGACGCGATAACCACTGTCAACCATCGTGAACCACTGACAACGGCACCCCCACCACACTTTTTCATTCAGTTCAACGGATTCAGAGATTTGAAGCAACTGGTGAAGTTATGGTCACGCAAAGATGTGGCGAGTGATGGGCAACACTCCCGCCTCCCATCAAGCGGGTTCTTTGCCATATTGATGTAAATCGTTTGACAACCTTTAAATTACATTAAGCTTAAAAATATTTTATTTGGAATCTTATCTTTACTATCGAACGACAATTTATTTTTTCCTTTCTTCTATATCTGCCTTTTAAATTTCCTTTCTAGTCTTATTTCTTATGAGCACAATTTTATTCACCTCGTGTTTTTCGCCAATCTTAAAACTTTCTTCGTTACAACATTTTGTCATATTTCTACCGATCTATCTGACTAGAGCATTTTCTCTGCCATACATTACAAATAAAAATTTTAGGCTTTTAACTATCCTTTTTACTCGGTGAGGAAGTAATATAAAAATACAACAATTATACATATGGAAAAAAAGCTTTACGATACCATTTCTAAAGCAAATTGTGATTCACCTCCCCGAGATTGATTGCGATTAATTTTTAAGGAAATCAAGATATCCGCGCGGTGACTGACTGACTAATCTTTAACTTGAGTACAAAACTGTGCATTTCCATCTTGTCATTAGACGATGCAGATTTATTTATAATCAAATAACTTACTACTCATACCTTCTATTCCCAAAATCAAACAGTGGATGAAGAATGAAGGCTTTCGAAAAAGTTATTCCACTGGGATCTCAAATCTAACGGAAATTATATCAGTTAGAGAGGACGAAACAGGTGAACGAACTTGGTTCATAAGATCGAGTGCCTGAATGTGACAAGGTTTACATCAGGGAAACAATACGACGACTGAACAAAAAGGGTTTCACAATATTTAGCAGCACTGAGAAACGGAAAAAAATCGATTGGCACGCATTCATCTAGCAACACCCGTTTGATGAATGGTGCCATACCTACTGATAAACATTTGGCCATTAATTAAACAATTTTTACACATATTGAATAAAAGCCGACTGTATAACACCTGTACGAGTTTGTTTAGCTTGAGTTACAGCTGGAATACCACCGGTCATCTTGTCCGAAAGAACTAATAAACCAAATGATACTGCCTCAAACCTTACATAGCTGTTTTTCATAAAATCATCTTGTTTCATTTAAATTACGATTACCCTCACATGGTGAGGCGTGAGACATGAGGCACTGAAACGAGTCTGTAAATAAAAAATGTTACGTTGTCCTTTGCAGGCCATGGATCGGGCGGGAAGGGAAGCCCATTTATTCTAACAGGCAACGAATCGATACCTTATTCTATACCTATGTGAAACACTGTTTACTTTTTGTTCCTCTTCATCTCATCAATCTGGCATCATCAAGATCCCCATTTACCCTAAGATACGACAGGCATCCTTTTCAGTATCATATCTCATTCAGTCCACTGACTTTTATCACGTATCACCTGTGAATTATAAATCCTTTCATATACACCATTAAAGTATTCTTGAGTATCTCTATTACAGTTTTAAGAATTATTCGAATTCAAACCATTTACTTAGTTTTACTATGAAGGACGCTTTCTTAAACGAGTCGCTGGCCTTACGCGTCTCGACATGGTTCGGAATACTAACATCCCGAAGAGCCTTGGTATACAGCCTTTGCTTCCCCAGATTGAGACACAACTGCGATGGTTTGGGCATTTGTTGCGAATGCCTCCATAAAGGAAGGCTAAGCAACTGTTCATTGCAAATCCGACCGGCAAAAGGCCCAGGGAACGGCCAAGATTACCTAGTGCAAACACATGGAAAGAATCTGTTCCAGACTGCACTTGTCTTCTGTCGAAGCTCAGACCCTGGCACATGATCAGGACGTTTGAAGCTCTGTCTGGCGCATCTCTCTCTGCGACCCGAAAGGAGAAGCGGCGATGGAAGATGAAGACTCAAAGTGATCCAGCCATGATTCCCAGCAAATAACTCAAAAATAAATAAACCTTAAATGCGACAAACGTTAAAAAACATGAAAGTTATTTCAAAGCTCAAAATCGCTTAACGTCCTAGAGCATTGGACCTTGAAATCCTTAGAGGAACACATCCGAACGACCTGAACAAATTAAACCAATACTTTCTTAGATTTGAGGATGGCGATTTGCCCGCACCATTCTGACTACCTAACGTCAGTTTCTCGCCTGTGAGTCTGTGCTACAAAGATCGTTTCTCTGACAAAGCCGTATGCTCAAGCTTACTCGGATTAAAGCAAAAGGTTTCTACTTGTGACGATAAAATTTCAAGAATACTGCTGAAATCCTGTGCCGATGAACATCGAAAACCTCCGTCCATTCTTTTCAATGAACCCATCTCAAGCGCAACTCCCTAACTATGCCGTATCGGCGAGGCAACATCTGTGTAGAAAGTGACTAATCCCACGTCATCGGATCATTATCCCCCATAGTTTCCCTATCTATTCCGCTTAAAGTTCTGCAGCAGTTCGTCCTCACATCCACAAAAGAAAAATCATCACTAGGTCGGATGGATACCAGCTTGCTTACAGGTCCCAAAGAAGCTCCACCGACGCGCTAGGCATTCTAACGATAAACATAATATTCCGTATGGATAAGGGAGATATGTAATATGCATTAATAAATATTAATATCCTTAGATATAAAATCTTGGAGTGGTTCAAAGTTAGTTTGTCACGTTTGCAGAATGCTTCAGTCTGTAACAAGTGTTCATCATAGCAGAGCAACAACCTTGTCATACATACATACATACATACATACATACATACATACATACATACATACATACATACATACATACAT